CAAGTTTTAAAAGTTTTTTTTTTTTTTAAAGGGTTTGGAATATTTAGTAAATTTATTGTGATTGTATGTTTGTTTTTGTGACAAGGCTCAATGAACTTTAATTATCAAATACTCACCACGTTTATCAGTTGGACGAATGCAAGACCGAACCGAACATCAACTGTTTGTGTCATATTTTGCACTGGGCGGATGAGCTTGTTGTAGCCACGGAATAAATCCCGAACAAGCCGCTCTTCGTCTTCCGAGCATCTGCCTGTAAAAAGAGTTAAGAGTTAAAAGGAAGGCGTATTAAAAGAAAACTCTTTAAATAAAAAAATGGCGGCGTGTTTTTTTTTACATAAACAAAAATCTCATCGATTTAAAATATTTTTTTTTTTTTATTTATAATAATAAATATATTTTAGATATTTTAAAAAAAAAAACGGTAATTGTTCTCTTTGGCTTTATATAAATAAAAAAATCCCTGATAAAATTGATAAAAACAATAAAGAACCGTGAAAAATGTTACTCGTTTTATCTCTCTATTGAGTCTTTCACAAAAAAAAAAAAAATCTTTTTAACGATCTTTCTAAAAAAGGAGGGAAATCCAAATTTATTTGCCTTTTTTCCCTTAAAAAAAAAATTTAATTCAACTAAACCATAAATTTAAGGTTTTCTAACCCGGGTTTTTCGCAAAAAGAAAAAAAACTTACGACAACAATAACAACAACAACAAAAAAGTTTTTCTTTTTTTTTTTTTTTTTTCCTTTCACATCGATTAATCTCATTTTATTTTATTTCCCCGCCCCACCCCCTCCCCCCGTAATTTTTGTTGCGTTTTTAGTTAGTTTGCATAAAAATATATAAAATGAACTGAATATTGTTGACCTAATTAACTTAACATTATTCTCATGGGATAATAAAATTGTTTTAAATGTTTGTTGGTAAGAAAAAGATACAAATTATTCTCTCTCTCTCTCTGTGTGTGTGTGTGCGTGTTTGTTTGTTTGTTCGGGTGAGAGAAAATTTTTTTTTTAAAATTTAACTGCAACAAAGGTTATAATAAATCAATGACTTAAATAACTAACTTTGATAAGACACTTTATTTCATTTGAAAAAATTATTATTATTATTATTATTATTATTATTATTA